AAATATTGTAAATATTCCGGAATAAAAAAGGAGGAAAAAGCCTCCTCTGCGATTTTCAATTTATCCATAAAGCTCATCATAGTTTTGAATATTTGTTTACTTATAATTTAAAAAAAGAGAATTAAGAAAAACCTCATTTCTCCCTTACAGGAAGAAGCAGGGACAATGAAGATCATCAATAAAATATTAAGTTCAAGAAGAAAAATTAATGGCCGGATGCAGTGGCTCATAGCTGTAATCCCAGCACTTTGAGAGGCCGAGGCAGACAGGTCACAAGGTTAGGAGTTTGAGACCAGCCTTGCCAATATGGTGAAACCCCGTCTCTACTAAAAATACAAAAATTAGCCAGGCATGGTGGTGCGTACCTATAGTCCCAGGTACTCAGGAGGTGGAGGCAGAAGAATTGCTTGAACCCAGAGGCAGAGGTTGCAGTGAGCAGAGATCGTGCCACTGCACTCCATCCTGGGCGACAGAGCAAGACTCCATCTCAAAAAATAAAAATAAAAATGAAGAAAAATTAATAACCAAGAGTTCATTATAGCATGTAGATACATAGGAAATTTGACAGAGATCATACTCATTTTAACAGAATTCTAACTTTTAATTTTTATTAAGTATCTAATAATTCATACTTCCCATCATTACCAAATTAGGGACTAGGCATAGTGGCACACATAACAGATTTAGAATTACCTAATAGAAAACAGTGTTATTATTTTTTAAAAAAGGCAAAATTACTGCTACTTCTGAATCTGCCCTGGACTGTGTTTACCTTATCCTCAATTCTACTCTGCCTACCACAACAGACATTTATTCCACAGTAAACCACCTCATTTTTAATGTGCTTAATTACACTGTTTGGAATATATCATGAAATCATATGAGACTAATTAGACAATAAACAGTATAAATACTTAAGAGAAAAAATTCATGAATCTATCCATTCAAAATTTCAGGATCAGCAGAACTGGGAAGTATAAAGCCCAACATTTCAGTTAAAATCTGAACAGATTTGTGTTTTGAAAACATCCCTATGGCTCAAAATAGAAGACAGATGAAACTGAAAGTAAGAATGGCAGGAGAAGAGATCAGTTTCTAAAGTATGGGTGCTAAACAAAAGCAGTGATAATCAGAGACAAAGGGAAGAGATAAAAACCAAGAAATTTAAAAGACTGAGTAAAAGTGGTGAGTACAAATGGGTGCATAGAATTAACATTTGCTGAATAACTAACTATATACTTAGCTTTTGAGATGAAACCTTTCTATTTCCTTTGATCCTCAACATCTTTACGAGATAAATATTGCCCTTATTTTTACAAAAGGAGAGACTGAGTCACAAGTAAACGACTTGAATTTATGTAGCTACGACTTAGTTCTAACATACAAAGGCTTCTATACCTCTAACATAACAGAGCCCTGATCCAAATCCAGGTTTGTCAAAACCCAGTTAAACCTCTTTAATGCCCAGGTTCCTACTGGCAAGTTTGACAGTTTAATTATTCATAGACAGTGAAATTGGCTATTAATCTGTCCCTTATCTTGTCTAGCCTTCATTAAACTTAAAAAAAGATACTATTATTGGCTGGGCGTGGTGGCTCATGCCTGTAATTCCAGTGCTTTGGGAGGTGGGCTCAGGAGTTCAAGACCAGCCTGGACAACATGGTGAAATCCCATCTCAAATAAAAAAATGAAAAAATTATCTGGGCATGGTGGCACATGCCTGTAATTCCAGCTTCTAAGGAGGCTGAGGTGGGAGAATCACTTGAACCCAGGAGGTGGAGGTTGCAGTGAGCTGAGATCGTGTCACTGCCCTCCAGCCTGGGTGACAAGGGTGAAACGCCATCTTAAAAAAAAAAAAAAAAATCTATTATCATGTGTCCCTCTAATGTTACTATTAAAGTCAATCAAAACTAAAACTTTGGCTGTGCTTTATAAAATTTCACTTTGTGTTCCATCTTCACACTTAATATTAAATGCCATTATAAATTGATGGAGCAGGTTTGGCAAGGAAGGAGGATAAAATATTTATTTTATTTGAAAACACTGAGTTTGGGCTGGGCACAGTGGCTCATGCCTGTAATTCCAGCACTTTGGGAGGCCAAGACAGTGAAGGAGGTGAGGGGGATCACCTGAGGTCAGGAGTTCGAGACTAGCCTGACCAACATGGTGAAACCCTGTCTCTACTAAAAATACAAAATTAGCCAAGTATGGTGGCACACGCCTGTAATCCCAGCTACCTGGGAGGCTGAAGCAGGAGAACTGCTTAAATCGAGGAGGCGGAGGTTGCAGTGAGCCGAGATTGCACTATTGCACTCCAACCTGGGCAACAAGAGGGAAACTGTCTCAAAAAAAAAAAAAAAGAAAGAAAGAAAACACTGAGTTTGAAGTACTCCTAAGGTATTGAGATAAGGAGGCCAGTCAGTGGTAAAGAATACTCTGCAATAAAGAAGGATTTGGGAGTGGAGCTAAGAAAGCTACCGGTAGTTTGAATTTAGTGACCAAGAAAAGCATCCTCAGTGAGAAAAGATGTAACTTATTTAACTAGTGAATCAAAAATGTGTAAGCGACTACACTTGATCCTCGGTCAGCTAGATTATGGTTGTGTATATAGAACTGTGGCATTTAATTATGTCTTAAATATAATGCAAGCTAGCATGGTAAAATTTTGAGTTACTAATTCCTAAAAGTAAGCCAAGTACTGCTTTGATTATTTTTCCTAAATTTAGTCTAAAAATGACAGTCAAGATTTAGGTAGGTCTCATACACAATTCTACAGATTCAGTAAAATAAACCCTCGGGGAATAAAACTTGTTTTTCACTGTAATATCTTTAACATGATATTTGTACTTTTTTCAATACTACGTGCTTTATACGGATTGAAGACAGATGCCAATATGTAACTTTCTCTTCCTCTGTCTCCACGTATTTAAGAATCCTGTCAGCCAGGTACAGTCAATCCCTCCAAATTGGTTCCAAAACAAGCGACCCTCTCTCTCACTCAGATACGAAAATCCACAGATGCTCATGTCCCTTATATCAAACGGTGTCATATGTGCGTATAACCTCCCCACATAAAATTTTCTCGAGATTACTTATATAACCTAATATAATGTAAATGCTATGTGAATAGTTGTTGTATTGTTTAGGGAATAATGATGAGAACAAAAAAGTCTGTGCAACTATCCACTTTTTTTCCTCTGTAATAGTTTCAATCCCTTGAGTCCACAGACACAGAGGGATGCACTGGTAACTATGTTATTCCTCCCAACTTACAGAAGAACTGAAACTAAAGAGGTGGTACCAACCTGCTCAGAGTCACAACTCTGATTCTTTGTGATATAAATACGTTTTTAAGCAATATACTAGTTGTCTCCAATCGTTTTGTACTTACACGCATTAAGGAAAATTTGAAATACACATTCCAACATAAAATACTCTTATGTTTCACGTAGAAATCAAATGAAATAAAGTAAACCTGAACAGAAGTTCTAATACGTTCCCTCCCCACCCACACCCCCACGGAACTGCATGCCATTGCATATGCTATTGTACACTTTAAAAGATCACATAGCAACCATCTAAAAGTCAGGTAATTTGGGTTTTTCTCCACATATTTAAGAATCCTGTCAGCTAGGTACAGTCAATCCCTCAGAATTGGTTCCAAAATGAATTTGGGTTTTTCTTTTTTCCTTTGAATATATATTACTGAGAAGTTTGCCTTTAAAACACTGCCTTTTAATCTCCTACTCATGAAATATGCAGAGTAATAAGCGCTCACAAAACTTCTGTCTTGAGGGCTTAAATACCAGATGATTGCTCTGAGATTTTTCACAGTATTACCTCAAATCCTATTGGTGCCACAACCCTTTCTCTACCCTAGGGTCCTGTTTTCCGAAATTTCCAATTGGGATTCTTCCTCGGTTCATTTCCATAAGATTAGGGAAAAGAAATGCCATCAAGAAACCTTTAAACACACGTTAATTTTTCTAAATAATACAATTTGCCTTTTCGTCAAACTGGGCTTTCACGACAAATCCGATTTTAGTGATCTTTGCATACACCCTTTGAACACACCAGTTGCCGCCTTCGAGGTATCATCAGATTCGTGCTAAAAGCCACTCCCGACCCCAGCTTTCCCCCGACCTCTTCCCCAACTCCCGTTATTCGCCACGGCCCGGGGGAGTCTGGGGACCGCCGTCTGGGAGAGAGCGGCCCCGCGCCGACGCCAAGTTTCCCGTGGGTCCGGAGACCGGTGCCGCCTCTGAGAGCGCGCGAAGATCCCACCCGGCGCCCTACCCGCCCGAGGGACCGACACCTCCCGCCCGGGCCCGCGAGGACCACCGTGGACACCACCGCAGCTCAGCTGACCCTGCCTCTCCCAGGTGGCTAGGGGTCGCCAGCCAAGGGGGCAGCCGGTGGAGGACGAACCCCGGAGCAAGGGAAAGCGACAGCGCGCGCCTTCATCGTACCGCCAACAAGTCGAAGTCTCCCCAAGGAACCTGATCGGCGGGACTGTCGTGGTACGACCAGACCGCTAAGGCCACCCTGCGGGCTTAACGACCTCGGCTAACCGCTGCTGACCCGCCGGGAAGCGCGCGCCTGCGGCAGGGGAAGGAAGGCAGGAGCCCCGGCGCTCCGGCGCCCAACGCGGGACTGATCGCGCCTGCGCCCCGCCCTCCCTCCGTCCCTTCGGACTCTGCCCGCACCTGCGCAGTTCCGAGGTTTCGCGTCGCTGGAGCCTGAGAAGCCGGAAGTGTCCCTAGGCGGGTGGTGGGGGAAGCTGATAGGCACGCGCGGCTCCGCAGCGGCCTGATGAGGGGAGGCGGGTGATTTGCCTAAGAGAAAGGGCAGATAACTGGGCGCCCCCGGCAACAGGTCCACGCATGCGCCCTCTGGGTCGGCTGGTAGCCGGGAAGGGAAAGCCGAGCGGGCCCCCGCGGGAGGAAAGGGGATGGTCACTTCCCGGAAGAGGCGGGGCCGCGCCGGCGGGCGCCGGATTCGAAACGCTTCCTGGTGCTCCCGTTCCTGGCGGCAGAGTCCCGGGCACTAGTCTTTGCTTGGGTAAAGAAAGAGGGCTTTTCTTTTCGAGAAAATTCAGAAATTTGTTAGGATTCAGGCTAAACTGGTAAATGACGAAGGGGCTTCTTCCAGAGCTGAGGAGGAAGGGTTGTCCGGGTAAGTCCCGCGGGACTTGGAGAGACGGTGCCGCCCCGGTTCTCCCACTGGTTCCTTTGACGATCTGGGTTGGGGGCGAGCTCTTTGTTCGCTGCTCCTCCGAAAACACTTTTAGTGACTCCTTTTGAATAAAGTAGAAAATCCGAACCGAGCCGCCAGGCCGCGACCTGGCCCCTGCGGGTCACCCCGCCCCGGGAAAGCTGCGTGTTCGCCGGCCGCGGGCGCTCGGCCGAAGCTACAGCGTCCAGTTGTGCTATCCCCGGGCACGCGGTGGGGATAACTCTCCCGCCTCGCTCAAGGGCATTCCGGGCGAGCCCTCTCTGGTCCCCTTAGGCACACTTGAATGTTCCTTTTTCCGTGTTAACGTTGTATTTTGGGTATGGTTCTGTTACAGTAATTACCTTAAGGCATTGTAGTTGTTTTACCATCGTTCTTTCCTCCTTTGGTAACCTAGAGTGTAAACCCCCTAAATGAACGTCGGAAGTGATGAAGTCTTACTTCCTTGGTTTAGGTTTCAGCGCCCTTCTCGACCCCACACTACCCCTTCAGTCAACCCTTCCCATGAATATACAGACCTAGCTGGTAACCTACTTTTCATACTCCAAAAATAATGTATTGACTGCCACCTCACCCCACCTCCAAATTGATGTTGAAATTCTGGCCTCCAGTAATGGAATTCTTTCCATCAAAGTCACATTTTAGTTTTAAAAGTAATCGCACGTGTGTTTCTATTGTGGCCCTTGCCATGGATCAACGAAAAATATGACAGTTAAAATAGACCAAAACATCTGGCCTTGTTGTAACCAATGGGAAGCACAGTTGAGAGGTCCCTACTTACCTGTCACTTCCTTCAGGAACCCTTGTTCGTTGATTCCTAAGACTAAGTGGAGGACCTTTGTTTCTATATACAACGATAGCTTGCTTTCTTACCTTTTATGCCTTTTTTTCTGCAGTCTCACTTACCCTACTAAGGTCTTTAAATACAGAGCTTGGTCTTCTTCCATTATTGTTTCTCCAGCACCTACAAGCATTCCTGTTAAATAGTAGACCTTTAGTAAGTATTCATGATAAGCATGAATTATGTTATGTCTCAGCGTTTAGGCTAAATTCATATGAAAATAAAATTGAAAATTAATTTTAAAGAACAGCATTAATTACTAAGATTTTGTGGTAAATCCTTTAAAATATAATCTTGCACTGAAATAGATTTCACCATTTACCAATCTTTATATGAATTTATAGTCATCTAAATACGAATTGGGAAATTTAAGCATTTTTTGCTTTTTTAGAGTAAATTTTCTTCCTAATGTTTTTCTTAAAGCTGAAGTAAATTGCAAAACTGTTGCTTTAATAAAGTGTGTATTTTTGCATCAATTAAGCCACTGACCTCTTTTTAAGTTCTTTAAATTTGATTCATTAGTGGAATTAACAAGGTTTTGTGTTTTTGTCACCTCATTCAGTTTTATAATTAACCAATAAAAGCTTATTAGCTTTTAAGGAAGTTTTAGGAACTTAAATTGATTTATGGGCACCATATGGTTACATCAAAAGACTTGTTTTTGTTTTAACTGGAAGTGGATTCTTAAATCCTTTAAGATGGAAATTTATGTTCTTTTATACCAAGCAATAATTTCTGAAATTGAGTGATTTTTTTTTTTTTTTTTAATTCCATGCTACCAATTGGTCATGAGATTCAAATATTAGATACTAGGTTACAGATCTTAGAATCTCGTAATTCATCTGGTTTAATACCTCTCATTTTGTAGAAAGGTTAAATGTCTTCCCTAGGTCATACAGCTAATCAGTGGTATATGTTCATGACTCAAATCCTAGGCTTTCTATCCCAAGTCCATTGCTTATAAAGTTTTTTGCTATGTATTCTGACTTTGTTGATTCAAATAAGCTAAATAAATTGAAGCCATTAATAGGTTATGAAGTTATCTGCTGTATGTTGTTCTGACTTCATTGATTCATGTAAGCAGACTTGTGTGACAACTACTTCTTTAAAAATTATGAAGATGTTAGGAGACTTTTTCTGATAGGTAATATATATATTGATTGTATGAACAGATTGACATCAATATAATTATTTGTTGTAAAAGATTTGAGTGGGAAATCACCAAATCCCACAGCAAAAAAATTTTAAATTTTACCATGTTAAAAATATAGAAAGCAAGATGAAATTATACATAGTTCTTGGTGTAGTATTTTAAACTTTTATTTATTTTTATAGAAACGGGGTCTTAACCATTTTGCCAGGTTGGTCTCGAACTCCTGGCCTCAAGTGATCCACCTGTCTTGGCCTCCCAAAGTGCTGGCATTATAGGCATGAGCTACCATGCGTGGCTGGTGTAGCATCTTTACATTTTACTTAATGCTGAATCATTTTCAAGTAACCTCATCACAGTGATTATGACCTCATGCAAGAACCATCTGTTCTATCCTTCAGTGTAGTTGTACTTTACTATCTTAAAAGCTATTACATTCTGTGCTTTTTTGGAATGTTTTATGCTTTTACAGTCTTAACCATTGCTTAATACCACTTCAGAGGAACAGCTCGTGCAAAGAACATATGATAAGGAACGGAAAACAGTTGATGATGGAAACAGATTTTGGGTTAATCTCATTCTTAAAATATTATGATGTTCTTTTTAATAAAATGTACATTTCACATAATTTTCCTCTTTTAGAATTAACCATGGTCAGTCATTCTTTAAACCAGGTTTGTTTCTGACAAAAGAAATGAAATAATAAAAACTAAGTTCTAACTGTAGTAATTGTGTAATATTAAAGATACTATTTATGGGATTAATTAAAAGCCCTCTTTATCTTGCTTAGGGGTTTCCAATAATCGAATCAGTGCTGGATTTTTTTTTTTTTTTAAGATATGGCTGCCCCCAGTTAATAATATTATTTCATTAAAAGCTTTACAAAATGATCCTAATATACTTGAAATACTTAGAGGACTGCAGTTTATATAAGCAAGAATCTACCTTATTGCTGGTTCATTTTTTTTTTTTAACATAAGCCTCAGAAGGAATAGTTGACATCACAGGCCTATATATAAATGTGTGTTTATGTGTGGCATCATAAACATCACTGCACTAGGTGGTAATCTTCATTACTATTTATTTTTATATGTGTAGTCAACTTACAAAAGAAAACATTAGAGACAGGATAAGAATGTTGAACCTTGCAACTGGGAGTTACCAGAGAAAATATGTGCCCTGGCCAATTCCGCAGGACTACCCAGTCTGAAGGAAACCAGAAAATGTGAATCTCTCTTCCTTCAAAATGCTATGCCAGAGTAGTATTTAATATTCAAGTACTTGTAAATTTTCAGAACAATACTTTTTAATTTCACCCATGAATTCTATTTAAATTTGTCACTTAATACTTATCTAAGAAGCAAACCATCTAACAAGATTTCTAGTTTATTTCTCCAACTCCTAATAAATAGGGTCACTTTTTTTTTAACTGTTTTCTAATTTGAAAAGGAATACAGGTATATGGTATTTTAAAAATGAAACAGCACAAAGGGATATGTTTTAAAAAGTGGTTCTTGCCATCTCTGAACTGTAATCATCCCTAACATGTAACCTGTTTCATACCTGTTTTCATTTTAAAACTTGGATCAGTTTTTTTATCAGTAAATATATTTCTATCCTACTGATTTATTTGCCATATCATCTAATTTAGTTTGAACATTACATAATTTAATTTACTTAATTAGTCCTCTATTGATTGAGAACTGGCTCTTCTCAGGGTCTTACTATTATTAATAACGCTACAGTGAATATTGCTATTTATAAATCCATACATACCACATAATACATCCTAAGTTCCTGAAAGAGGTATTGCTAAACCGGAAGGTAACATGCATTTAAAATTTTGACTGCTAGGGTCAGGGTCACATTTAAATGAAATTAGAACAAAGGAATTGCATAATTTTCTTCAATAGCAATCTATTCCAGTATCCACCCCAAGTCACAAAGGAAGGCAAAAGTATCAAGAACTTCCTTCCCAATCTTTGAGTTTTGTGTGTTCCAGTGGGTTAATAATTTGTCTCATTTCTCTTTATTATAATGCCTTCAAGAATATATGTACCCCACTCTTTTTCCAGAATTATGCACAACTTTTCACAGTAACTGAATCTATGCCACAATGGTATATTCAACTAGTGGGGCTTCAGGATGTGAAATAGACAATATTAGTACTGGGCCACCGTTACTACCCAATGCTTTCTTTGCCTTTAAGTCTGTGTATTTTTATCTGTAAAGTGACATCCATAGTTGTCATTGTACACTTCATGGAAATGAGTATATAGAATAATACTCAAAAACAAAAGACAAAGAAAAAATAATACAGAATAATACTCTTGATGGGGCTAAGTGCAGTGGCTTATTCCTGAAATCCCAGCACTTTGGGAGGCTGAGGCAGGCAGATCACTTGAACCTGGGAGGCAGAGGTTGCAGTGAGCCGAGATTGCGTCACTGTACTCCAGCCAGGGTGACAGAGTGAGACCCTGCCTCAAAAAAAATAATAATACTCATGGTGGCACTGATGACACTGTAAAAGTAAGATTCAGAAAAACAGGCTAAGTCACAGACAGCAACCCTTCCAGCATTTATTTTGTTTGCCCCTATGTGCAATTTGAGAAAATTTGCTTTTAGAACAGACTCTGTTAAAGGGACAGACAATACATTACTGTTTATTCAGAAGTTTTCTGCATAAAGGTGATATAGTCTTTTGACTTAGTGTATTCTTGTCCTACCTTGTCCTAATAATCTGGGCTGTATTTGTAGTCAGGTTGCATTTTCATTGCACATGCTACATAATGTTTACCAAATATTAACAAATGGAAAGAAAACCAAATATAGATGTATAATAAGGAAAAGCTGGCCTATAGAAAATGCCAAAGCAGATAACAGTAGCAGAGTTTAAACCAATTTTGTTTTTAAAATGTCATTTACATGGAAAAATATTTAACTTTAGTTTTCTTTGGGTGGTTAAAAGTCAGAAGTGATTAAAACTTTTTTTTTTCTTTTTCTGCAATGAACATTATGTGACCTTGCAGTTTAAACAGCCAGTGCCCTTTTAAGAAAGATATGTCCATATTTCTCCAACTTCATTTTCCGTCTCTGATTTCATCTCCTCTCACTTTACTAAGTTTTCTTTCATTAACCCCATTTTTCTTTAGTTCATTTGTTTGCATGCTTCCTTGCTTTTGTTTTTTGTTTTTCCTGGTTATGATAGAGAATAGTCTCATTCTCTTAAGTATGTAAATGAAGGTTTGAATTTTCACGTAGGCAAAAATGATTTACAGCATCCTTGCATTTTCTACCCATCTCTGTTTTTGTTAGCTCTTGTTTTTAGTTGGGGAAAAAGGCAGTTACCATTTTAACGTTTCAGGTGTTCTTGATTCATTTTGAAAAACTGACTCATGAAAGAAGGAGAATCCTCTATGAATTATCCTGAACTGGCTTATAATATATTGTTTGAGTTCCTGTTAATGACCTTCTGTTTCTTTAACAAAGTGTGTTTCACATAACAGCAGATAATCACCAGAATGGGAGTGAATGACTTGTGGCAAATTTTGGAGCCTGTTAAGCAACACATCCCCTTGCGTAATCTTGGTGGGCAAACTCTTGCAGTTGATCTGAGTCTCTGGGTGTGTGAGGCACAGACAGTCAAAAAAATGATGGGCAGTGTCATGAAGCCCCACCTCAGGTATAGTAAAAGTTGTTAAAGTATAAATGTATGGTGTATAAATAGTCTTAGTGTCTTGATTTTTGTTTCACCTTTTTTTCTTTTGTTGTTGTTATTCATTTACATTTTGAGATGTCAAGATCTATTTAACGTGTCTAGATTCACTATCTTTATATTAAGGACTCAGATTTGTGCCTCTTACCCTTTGAGCTCCAGATTCACATATCTATCTTCTACTTAATATATCCACTAGGATGCTTCAGATACTAAAAGCGAGAAGTTTGGGAGACATTTTCTCCCTATTTTACTTCTCCCACACCAATCCATCAAGTAAGTTTTGCTAGGTCTACCTCCAAAATATACTTTGTGATCACAAACTTATCTCAGTGTCGAGAGGTACCGCCTCAGTCTATGCCAACCTCATCTCTCATCTATACTACGGAAGTGTCATCTTCACTAGTTTCTTGCTCTTGGCCTCCCACCCCAAACCATTTTCTACATAGCAATTAGAATAATCATAACTATTGCTTAAAAATATTTGGTGTTTTTGGCTGGGCACAGTGTCTCACACCTGTATTCCTAGCACTTTGGGAGGCCAAGATGGGCAAATTATTTGAGCTCAGGAGTTCAAGATCAGCCTGGGCAACATGGTGAAACCTCATCTCTACAAAAAATTAGTCAGGCATGGTGGCACCTGCCTGTTGCCCCTGCTACTTGAGGACTGAGGCAGGAAGATGGCTTGAGCCCAGGAGGTTGAGGCTGCACTGAGACGAAATCACACCACGGCACTCCAGCCTGGGTGACAGAGTGAGGCTCTGTCAAAGAAAAAAAAAGTTCAATGGTTTTCCACTCCAATTAAAACCTTAAGTAAAAGGTTATTATATATAACATTTTTGATACTAGTCTAATGTTATTGCCTTTATGTTATACTATTTTGACTTTTACTATCAATGTATGATGATGATGATTATATTATATTATTACTAATTTATATATTTCAGGAACTTATTTTTTCGTATCTCATATTTAACACAAATGGATGTAAAACTGGTGTTTGTTATGGAAGGGGAACCACCGAAGCTGAAAGCTGATGTCATAAGCAAGAGGAATCAGACTCGGTATGGCTCTTCTGGAAAATCATGGTCTCAGAAAACAGGGAGATCACATTTTAAATCAGTCTTAAGAGAGGTGAGCATTCAGATTTGATTCAGGTATATGGTTTAAATTAAAGGATACATTTTACTCTAATAGTTTGTCATCTTTAATACTCATTACTTTTATTGTGACTAGCAGGCCAGGGTGCATAGAGAAAAGTTTATTTTTTTTTTTTTTAGAGTGAAATTGACCTAAGTTTCTATCTTGGCACTGGCATGTAGAAACTCTTGAGACATTGAGCAAAATTTATAATCTATCTCTACCTTGTATATTACCTTATGAAAGGAGTACAGTAGTACTTATGAAATGAGAACAGTAATACTCAGCAGAGATGTGCTAAAAATAAGAGAAAGTATATCTAAAGCAACTAGTAGATATAGGAAGTTGGTCATATTACCTTTTATAACACTTTCAGGACTTAAAGAATTCCTAGAAGACATGAGATCTCATTAATTCATACTTCACTCATTCAGAATTCATGATAGTTCATATTTGAAATACATATTTGGCTTCCCTTAGGGCTTATAATTTTAAAAATTAATTATTGTTACATTACAATCTTATTTATATGTTACTTTTAATATTGCTAGATTTTATATTTTTATAAAAGTTAAGAAAGAGATCACTTATATAATTAAAACAATAGGAGGCTCTTTTTGTCTGTTTTCAAATGTGTGTATTTTTAAAGAGTTATATTAGTACACATGATTTTTAACCTGGTCTTTTCCCTTAATGCTTCATACCCATATCTTCCTGTTGTCACATTCTAATCAAAATCATTACTTTTAATGATTGTACAACATGTATGAAGCTATGAATCATACCCCTGATTGTATATGTTATTTACTTTTTTTAGTTTTTCTCTACTATCCATGAAAGTATGATGAGAATTTTTTGTGTATATAATGTTTTCTTGTGATTTGAGATTTTAGATAAAATTACCCAAAGTTGGATTGATAGGTCAAAGTTTTGGAATGATTTTATTGCTCTTGCTGATTAATTTCTGCTGATACAGATGTCAGATAAGCAGTTTTGGTGCACTCACAAGAGCATTGGATGTTAGGAGGCTTGTCTTTGTAATATTTAGTATGCAACAACAAAGATATTTAATATGCATTTATCTTTTAATAGTAACATTAAACATTTCACCTACTTTCATACCCCTTTGGGTAATGGGTATCATGTCCTACCTCTTGAGGTTTTAATTTTTCTTGGTGTAAGTTCTTTATTAACAAATATAACCTTTTTTCATATTTGCTTTGAATTAATTTTTTTTAAATTTTAGTTAAAAATTATGTCATTTTCCTCCTCTTCTGAAATTTTATTTTCTACTCTTATGTGATATTTAAAAATAGTTTTCAATTAGTGAATATTCCAACTTAATGACTGTCAGCAGTTGAAGAACATACCTGTGCTGAGTTCTAATTACTTCTTGTATAAACAGTTCCTGGAAATATTCATGGTCCTCAATCTTAGGGTGTTAAAGAACCAGCATAAAACAAACAAAAAAAAAGAGATGTCCATTTCTTCTTAAGAAAATTGCTCCATTCCTGTTTCTTTATTGCTACAGTAATTATGGTGTTCTTAGGCATTTTGTGTTAGTTGAGTTCACTGTTGCCTGTTAGTCATTTTTATCTTTCTGTACTCTTCAGTTAGTAGGCGTTGCTTCCTCCTAATCCACTGCCATTTTTTAGGTATTAGCATGAAAAGCACAAATTAGTCCTCCTCCAGTACCATCTCCACCCCACATGGTAGAGACATAAGGTAGGAAAAATTGAAACAGCCTTATAGGAAATTCTCTGCTGGTTCTTTGGAAAACTTTGAAGTGGCAAATAGTACAAGAAATTGAAATAACTATTATCAAAGGCTACTTTTTACCTAGGTAAGGTTGAAGCAACACCTGTAACAAAACTGTCTCTAAAATCCTGGGGTCAGTGTCTTAAAAAGTATTATTTTTCAACATAGTACTTTGACTTTTTTAACCCTGTCCATCTTTGGCAACATCTGACAGAGGCATTTATTATGCAAGGTGGCAAGGACGCAATTAATCAGTTAAAGCAAGAGATGGTATTTATTCTGTCAGTCTCTAGAAACTACAAGTAAGTAGCCTTTTCTCTCCTCCATACTCAGTGTTCCCTGATAGAGGATACATGAAAAAAAGAACGGTGTATGATAAGAAAGAATGAACTACGCTATAAGACTAAACTACAAGCTACCCAGCTGGGTTAAAATCATAAACCAAAGGAAACCCACAGCAGATTATTTGTGCATCAGCAAAATGATGTAATCATTTTGCACAGACATTTGATTTCCTAGGAAGACACTGACAGCTGACCCCTCCACGGTTTCCCACAATGTGAGAGTTTCATTGTACAGGGAAGGCAAGATGAGAAAAAGACGCAAACTTAAAAATTCAAGCCCAAACTGTATGATAGTATCTTCTTTGGAAGTACACCATATTGGATTGACCATCATGTGAGAAAAATTTTTGAAGTTTGGCAGATGTAAATCTTAATGTGATTAATTATTATTTAAAGATATTTTCAGAATCTGATGATAATAGCATTGAACAAAACAATGAAATGTGAATATGGATTACTTTGTAATTGACATTAAAATCTTAATTTTTTGTTACAGAAAAATTTAAACCAACAAAAGTAACCCATCACCAATCTTTTTTTTTTTGGAGGGGGGACATAGTTTCGCTCTTGTTACCCAGGCTGGAGTGCAGTGGCGCAATATCAGCTCACCACAACCTCCGCCTCCTGGGTTCAGGCAATTCTTCTGCCTCAGCCTCCTGAGTAGCTGGGATTACAGGCACGCGCCACCATGCTCAGCTAATTTTTTTTATTTTTAGTAGAGATGGGGTTTCACCATGTTGACCAGGATGGTCTTGATCTCTTGACCTCAGGCGTGAGTCACCGCGCCCGGCCTACCCATCACCAATCTTAAACCATTATCTTGGCTCATCTTGTTTCATCTATGCCCCTACCCACTTCCCGACTCACATAACATTTTGAACAAATTTCAGACATAATATTGTATCATTCTCAGCATTTCAGTACTGTTTTCTAAAAGATGATTCTTAAAAAAGAAGCATAACTAGAATGTAATTTTTATTATCACGCCTAAAAGTTTGGCAATCATTCTTTAAAGCCCTCAAGTATTCAGTCATTGTTCAAATTTCCAAGTGTTTCTTAAATACTGTAATTTTTAAAACACCAAAATAGCTGCTATTAATATTTGTAATACAGAAATACATTAAATAGTAAAAAAATTAGCAGTGAAACCATTCTTTAACATCTTGCACCTGCTTTTTGTTTTCAGTGCCTCGATATGCTCGAATGCTTAGGAATCCCCTGGGTTCAGGCTGCCGGGGAAGCTGAAGCCATGTGTGCTTACCTCAATGCTGTTGGTTGTGTAGATGGCTGCCTCACCAATGACGGGGATACTTTCCTTTATGGGGCCCAGACTGTGTACAGGAATTTCACTATGAATACAAAGGTGTTTATTTTCTTTCTCTTGTTTAGCATTTGTTTACAAATTACCTTTTTAAAAGGGCTGATTAAGTGAAATAATAGATGTAAAATGCTTACTGTAATGCCTTGCACATAGCAATTGCTAAATGTTTACTGTTATTGAAAATCATTGCCACATAGTTTATTATCTTCAAAATGTGGATTTATCGCATAAGAACTTGACTTGTTTCACATGGCTTGATTCTAAATCAGTTTCAGAAATACATCAAATTGCATATGAAAATGTATTGCTTTGACCCTGAATTTTCAGTTTAGTATTTCATCCTCAGCAATACCTCCAAATATGCAAAGAGAGATATACAGAGATGTTCATTGTAGCATTATTAATAATTAAAAAAATTTGGCAAGCAACCCAAGTGCTCATTGATAGGGACATGATTAAATACTTGACACTTAATGATTCTCAGTTGGAGACATACTGCTGGGAGACATTTTGGTTGTAACAGTTCAGGCTTGGGCAGAGACTATACATATTTGGTGGCTTGGAGCCAACCAAACTAAACCTTCTGCCAGACATTTCTGTTATTCCTCCCAAAATGCTAATATTGGCATCCTCATTGAGAAACACCATTTCAGAGTCCATATGATGTAACAGAATGTGGTCATTGAAAAGGCTACTCTTGACATAAAAGATATCCAGGCATATTAATGGTGAAAAATGTCTTAATAGTATTTTTATATAATTCTATTTTTACTTAAAAATGTAATTAACAGTAAATATTAATATATATTTATCAAAGACAATGGTTTTTTGGAAGAATATGTACCAAGCTATTAATGATAGTTAACTTTGGGCAGTGCAATTACAGGGAATGTTTACTTTCTATAATATATATTATAATGTTTTGTTTTGAAGATGGAAATCTATATTTTTTAGATGCCAGAAAGCGATAAAATGGAAAAAAATGACTAGTATAGTCATTTTTAAGCCATTTTTGAAACTACAACTTTATTTCCATATATTGAAATGTCACATTCTGTGAAGATTCTGCTGATTAGGATAATTTTCTTATATAAATTTTTTGGAATAATTAAACTGTTTTGTTTTTGAGATGGAGTCTCACTTTGTTGCCCAGGCTGGAGTGTGGTGGTGTGATCTCGGCTCACTGCAATCTCTACCTCCCTGCAACCTCTGCCTCCCTGATTCAAGCAATTCTCATGCCTTGGCCTCCCAAGTAGCTAGAACTACAAGCATGTGTCACCACACCTGGCTAATTTTTTTGTATTTTTAGTAGAGATGGGTTTTTACCACGTTGGCCAAGGCTGGTCTCAAACTCCTGACCTCAAGTGATCCAACTGCTTTGGCTTCTCAAGTGCTGGGATTATAGGCATGAGCCACCACGTCCATCCTGGAATAAACATTTAAAGAGAATATTGACAAATTATTTTTGTAATGTTGTTTAATGTATAAATATGTATTTTTTGAAGATTAAATCTGTTCTTTGTTTAGGACCCACATGTTGACTGTTACACAATGTCATCTATCAAGAGTAAACTAGGTTTGGATAGAGATGCTCTGGTTGGATTGGCAATACTTCTTGGCTGTGATTATCTCCCAAAGGTAAGCTGAAATTGGCATATTTACTTGCTATTCATAAAGTCTTTTTCATACTTTATGTGCTATGTAAATATGAATATGATGTATCTATATGATTAAGAATCAAGTTTAAAATATGATGTCAAGTTTAAAATATATGATTAAGAATCAAGTTTAAAATATAAAATTCTCTCCAACTGGGAATCATTAAGTGTCAAGTATTTAATTATATTTAAGAATCAAGTTTAAAATATAATGTCCGGTTGGCTGGGTGCCGTGGCTCACTCCTGTAATCTCAGCACTTTGGGAGGCCAAGGCGGGTGGATCACCTGAGGTCAGGAGTTTGAGACCAGGCTGGCCAACATGGTGAAACCCACCTCTACTAAAAATACAAAAATTAGCTGGGTGTGGTGGCGGGTGCCTGTGGGTGCCTGTAATCCCAGCTACTCAGGAGGCTGAGGCACAAGAGTTGCTTGAACCCAGGGGGCAGAGGTTGCAGAAATCCTGTCATGGCATTCCAGCATGGGTGACAGGAGCGAAACTCCGTCTCCAAAACAAAAAAGTACATATATATATAATTTTAGGCATAATAAGCTATTCAGTGACTAAATAATCAGCATTTCAGATGGGACTAAAAAGTTGACTTGTGATACTGAATATTATAAGCAAGAATAGAATAATAAGTAGTTCCACAGCTTGACTGTCAGTAAACCATTAGAGATTCGCATATATGTTTGACTATCTTTTTAAATGAATATAGGAGTTATTCTTTTCTTGTATCATGCCAGTGTTAGTTTCTTTCACTCTGTTTTCTGTTTTTTAGTTTTCAATAATCTTTGTAGCTTTCCAGTTGTGCACATGCTCAATGCTATTACTGTTGCTAAGTCACGTGATCATTGGGGTAAGCCTTTCATACTTCCATGCCTCAGCATTGTGCTGGATTTTGTTCATGGAAATATTTTATTTATGTCTTAAGATGTACAATCTAGTGCTGTGTGACAAATAACAGGTGAGTGATGAGTTAAGTATTATAAGAATAATCCCATTTTCTTAAATACAGTGTTTTAAAATATAAAATGTCTGGTATTGTAGGTCTTACTATGTAGTTCTCTTATTATGTTTCTATTGATTATTTCTATATCATTACAGATCCCTCATTTTACCTCTATTCCCAAAAGAAGTATAAAGAAGAATGACAGTTTTTTGTTTTTTGTTTTTTTTCCAATCTATGCTCAGGAGAAAGGAAAATATAACAGGATAGTAAAATTATTAAGCCTAATTTATAATTTATATTATCAAAGAAGTTTTTTTTAACTGGTAGGAAAAGAAAGCAGGAGGAAAGAAACTTTTAAATACCACAAACCATTATTTTGTTGTAATTCTCCTTCTAAAATAGAAGACTATTTCCTAAATAAAATTATATCATAATTAAAATCTGTAAACAGTCCAGTATTTAAGAAAAAATTTGCTGACTTGAACTCACAGAAACCAACTTTACCTACAGTGGTGTTTAAATTATGCATTAGCCATAGCTATATTGACCTTTTGTGTTTTTTTTAAACAAAAGTTGCTATTTACATTATTCTACTTAAAGATTTTTGAAGGCCAGGCGTGGTGGCTCAAGCCTGTAATCCCAGCACTTTGGGAGGCTGAGGCCGGTGGATCACAAGGTCAAGAGATCGAGACCATCCTGGCCAACATGGTGAAACTCCGTCTCTACTAAAAATACAAAAAAATTAGCTGGGCATGGTGGCGCATGCCTGTAATCCCAGCTACTCAGGAGGCTGAGGCAGGAGAATTGCCTGAACCCAGGAGGCGGAGGTTGCCGTGAGCCAAGATGGCGCCATTGCACTCCAGCCTGGGTAACAAGAGTGAAACTCCGTCTCAAAAAAAAAAAAAAAAGATTTTTAAGACTATGTACCACTTAATTTGCCTTTAAAAACTTTAAGATATAGCTAATGCTAATACAAGAAGAATGGTAGTCAAGATATCTAATAACGTGTACGCCAAAGACATAAGCTATAGAAATGGAAGAGACTTCTGTTTCTTCCACAGTAGGGTGTGCCTACTGTGCCATAGACTCTTTTTAGCAGCTGGATTCTGGGTATAGGTGGATTGGGAAGCGTTCAGGTTAGATAGGAGATTCCTGTGCAAGTAGACATCAGGATGCTTGGGCAGTAGCTATTTACTAACCAGTTAGCATGAGTGTGTCAGTCCTAGTGCGTACTGGCTAAATAGCCGCTCTGCTTATAAGGATATATTCATACACTTATAGGGGCTAGAAAACTCAGTTTAAATCAGAAATTGTGATGGGAATACACATTTATGCATATCATTTTTGCATACTGGAAATTCACACTTTGAATTTTCTTAAGTTTTTAATTTCAAGAGTTAACTTAGAGCACTCCTTTGTTCTGTCTTTATGTCTGGGTTTTGGAATATTGAATGTTCATGTAATTAAATGAACTGGGTTTTTCCTGATTACAAACATAAAGTTAGGTTAAATTAAAAATATCATCCAAATAATTAACATAGTAAGTGAAAACCCTCTAAAATTATGACCCTCCCTTCCCTAAAATGAACACCATCAGTGGTTTGGTATTTAACCCTCTGAATTTTTTGTTTATGTAGATAACAGTGTAATTGTCATTTACTTTACAAATTCTGATCATATACACTATTGTGCAATTTTTGTTTTATGCATAGCAATGTATCTTGCACATCTTTTCCTGTCTTTACTTAAAGAGTTACCTCATTCTTTCTTTCAGCTGCAGAGTCTTCCTTTCAATTAATGTACATTTAACCATTCCTGGTGATTGATTAACATTTGAATTACTTTTTTCCCACTTTCCGAAAGGGAGTCCCCGGAGTTGGAAAAGAGCAAGCATTAAAACTTATACAGATTTTGAAAGGGCAAAGTTTACTTCAGAGGTAACTACTAATTACTTTTGCTTGCGACATTGAACTTTTATTCTTGCTGAACTTAATATGAATAGTACAAAAAAGAATTGTTTTCCAAAAATGGTTTTGTATTTTTAAACTGACCTATATTTTGATTTAAGATAATGTATTTTTATTTATTCTGAAATTTTCCAAAGAAAGAATGAGAATACGTGGTCTAAGCCATGCTGCATTTTTTTCTCTTTTTGTAGACAAGGTCTCAGTGTGTCACCCAGGCTGCAGTGCACTGGTGCGATTATTGCTCACTGCAACCTCAACCTGCTGGGCTGAAGCCATTCTCCCACCTCAGCCTCCTAAGTAGCTGGGACAACAGATAGGTACCACTGTGCACAGCCACCATACTACATTTTTAAAATATATATTATTTATATTAAACATGTTAATATATTAATTTTTATTTTTTATTTTTATTTTTGTACAGATAGGGTCTTCCTATGTTGCCCAGGCTGGTCTCAAACTCCTGGGCTCAAGTGATTCCCCCTGTGGCTTCCCAAAGTCTTAGGATTATAGGCATGAGCCACAGTGACCAGGTACCATAATACATCTTTAAAAATCTATTATTAGCTCACTAAACACACTTAGTACAATGTCAAGTGCATTTATTTCTAACCATGGGCATTTTGCTACTGGTTATTTTAAACTGTTTTACTACCAGGTAAAGGTAAACATGACATTAAAATAATTTTGTATTTCATACTTTGATATTGTATTTTTTTTTCTATAAGTGAAATGTCTGTGGCATGTTGTAATTAATCAAAATCTTACTTGACTGACCTTTGCTTTATAGCTACATTTTTTTTTTTTTTTTTTTTTTTTTTTTTTTTTTGAGACGGAGTTTCGCTCTTGTTACCCAGGCTGGAGTGCAATGGCGCGATCTCAGCTCACCGCAACCTCCGCCTCCTGGGTTGAGGCAATTCTCCTGCCTCAGCCTCCTGAGTAGCTGGGATTACAGGCACGCGCCACCATGCCCAGCTAATTTTTTGTATTTTTAGTAGAGACGGGGTTTCACCATGTTGACCAGGATGGTCTCGATCTCTCGACCTCATGATCCACCCGCCTCGGCCTCCCTATAGCTACATATTTAATAATAACATTAATTCATTTAGTCTCTACAGTTTGAGGATTGAGAACAAGATGCAAATTATATAGAAGTTAACAACCTATGCTACTTACTGTATGAAACACACATGAATTATATTTACTGATGAAAGCAATGCTTTATAAAAATTAATATTAATGATGATCAGTATAGAATCAAAAGAAAGGAACTAGGACACCGGGAAACTTAAAACAGTCTTAGACTCCAGCAGGTTCAAGATGGCATGTGCCTGAAAAGAAATGCTAAGAGGTAAAAATGAAAAAGGAATGACCATGAAAAATACGTCAAATTAATCAAACACCGTATATTCTCGCTCATAGGCGGGTGTTGAACAATGAGAACACATGGACACAGGGAGGGGAGCACTACACACTGGGGTCCATTGGGGGGAAATGGGGGAGGGGCGGGGGGTGGGGAGCTGGGAAGAGATAGCATGGGGAGAAATGACAGATACAGGTGAGGGGACGGAAGGCAGCAAAGCACACTGCCATGTGTCTACCTATGCAACAATCTTGCATGTTCATCACATGTACCCCAAAACCTAAAATGCAATAAAAAAAAAAAAAAAGAAAAATACGTCAAATTACTCTACTCTTTCCTATAAGACTTCTCTTTTATCTGTAAAACTATTGATAAATCCAAGACTTCAGTAAATCTATTATTGACATCAATTATTACTGTGCCAAAGCAAGAAAGAAAAGGTATACTTTGGCATGGGGGTGAGTTAAGGAATCATTTGAGAATTGTAAAAAATAATAGAAAAAGCAAGTGAATATAACATGTGGCTAACTCAAAACCATTCTTACTGAAACAGTTTCATCAAATAAGCACTGTTGACACTTGAAAATAATAAAATTATATTTCTTTTATAAATTATCTATTCTATTTTATTAGACTGACTTTTCCCCCCAGTTATTTTTAATTTTTAAATTGCTATTCGTTATCTGAAAGCAGTTAATGCTAATTTTTAACAGGCTTGTATTTGGTCTTTGTAGTAAATGAGTTAGAAATTCCAGAAGCTAAATAGTAACCTTAAGAACCAGATACTGTACTATACAATGAGCTGAAGAGATAATTTAGCTTTTCATAAAAACTTCAACTTTTGTAGGTAGAGGAACGTAATTCAGAACTCATATGTTTTATGATCAATACCTAACCATACCCTTTCTGGTTTTATGTTAACCTGGAACTTTAGTCAAAAATGAAATTAACTTTTATTTAGTAGAAATCTTTATAGTAATATACATTTTTTTTAAAATCTTTTATGAAGCAGGTCATGTTTTGCTCTTGATCATTTAAGATGATTTAGCTTTTTGACACAGTTTTCACCCAGAAGATTAATGTTTTGTTTAATTTTATATGTTAAACAAATTATATATTTATATATTACTCTTTAACCCTTCTTTCTGATATAAAGAAATATCCAGGCAAGAGAATTGCTTAAACCTGGGAGGCAGAGTTGTAGTGAACCAAGATCACGCCATTGCCCTCCAGCCTGGGTGACAGAGTGAGACGCCATCTCAAAAAAAAAGAAAAAAAAAAGAAGTATCTGTTTTGTACTCTGGCACACAGAGAAGAAATCAAAAGGAGACAGTTACAAATCAGTCTACTCACATATTGCTGCCTAACTTAAGATTCTTAAAAAGTTTGGAGATATCTCTATCTATATCTATATCTATATATCTATATCTATATATATCTATATATGTGTATGTATATATTAGAGAGAGAGGGTTACAGACATATAGATACACACACACATACTCTCTCTCCTGTCTTGCAGTTCTACTGTCTGTCCTTGGGCCTTGGGCCATGGGGCCACATTTAAATCTGGTAACTGAGGGTTTTCCCATGCTAGTCCAGCAACTTTATCAACCAACAAAGGGAAAATAATTAGGTAGGTGAAAGGGAATAGATCAGCCTAATATTTGAGAACACACTATTTTTGTGACCTCGTTATTTTTCCTTTTTTAAAAACCATTTTCTATTAAAGGTTTAATCGGTGGAATGAAACATCTTGTAACTCTAGTCCACAACTGCTAGTCACTAAAAAACTGGCTCATTGTTCTGTATGTTCTCATCCAGGTAAGGAGACATGGGGAATGGTTATTCATATCTGATACCCATGTTTTAATTCTTGTTTACATAGTACTTTTTGCATACCAATATTAATAATACTTTGAAGGATTTTACAAGAAATTGCCATAGACTGGCAATTTCTTAGAGTCAGGAGTTTTGTTACATACACATAGTATTCAGTACGTGTTTATTGAAAAGGAGTAATGTGATGTAGATGACAAATGTAGGATAAGTACAGTTTCAAACTACAATGCCAAATTACTTAGATCTTAAAATTATATTTTCAATATAGAAATCCATTTAAAAAAAAAATGTACTAAGTCTGAAGGGAAAATAGAACTGGTACCATTTGTTAATATATTTGTGATTTATGTTTATATACTTAAATGATTATTCATTGTTCTGTAATACATTTTAATTGTGTGTGAAGACAGTGACAAAACTAATTTCTATTACATGTTCACCATTATTGAAAATAGCTTAGATCTTCTTCATTAGTCTTGGTTTGAAAAAAAAGGTGAGCATGTACTGGATGAGAAAGGCCTTTAATTCCCAAAAGAGATTAGGATATCATGTTAGCTCGTCTGTCAAAAAAGAAATTCTGCTGTATCTGTTTGTCTTAATGTATTTTTATTATTAAAATATAGATAAAATCATGGAAGAAAATAAATGTTTTTTATAAATAAGATGCTATTGTATAGTTTTTTGATAACTTATAAATGAAAATTTGAGGTCATAGCAAGTATGTATGTTCTTCCATATTCTTAAGACAATGTTGAAAGTAATCACACTTTCCTTTTAAAGGGAATTAAATTTCTACACCCGTGCCGCAGTCATCATTTGTTCATGTTCCAAGGATAGTTTAAAAATAACTAACTGAGAGCTAGACACTAGCAGAGGTAATTAACTGCCATATTCTTTTGATAGACTCATTAAAGAAACTATTCTATTAGAGCTGTTCTATTAAGTAAATAATATTTTTTGCCAATAATTACATTCTACTATTTTGCATGTAGCTTCCACTTAAACCAGAAAGTTTTCTGTTGCTGATTATTGTAAATGTACAATTTCAAGTGTCTAACTAAACACTCCGAAGAATAATTTTTGAATAATTTTTTCTAAAGTGTCATGTGATAGTAATAGCTCAAGATCTGCTTGAGCCCAAGAATTACTATGGTGTCTATTACTCTATTCCACCTAAATGTATTGAAACCCTTCTATATGCTAGGTAGTGCACTAGGCAATATTAATTTTTGAAAATTTGGATACAGGCAAAAAAAATGTATGTAGAAAATAATTCTAAAAAGCAAAACATATACTTTTTTTTTTGGGTCTCCATAAAGGTTCCCCTAAGGATCACGAACGTAATGGTTGCAGATTATGTAAAAGTGATAAATATTGTGAGCCACACGATTATGAATACTGCTGCCCTTGTGAGTGGCACCGTACAGAACATGATAGGCAACTCAGTGAAGTAGAGAACAATATTAAAAAGTAAGTTTTTTAAAAAAACCTATGCTTTTTCCTGGCATGACCTATACACATGTCTTCGGTTGAATTATTTCCACATAATCTTTCCCCATGTGTTTAGATTAGTCACATGTTTAACAAGTTTTTTCTGATTTCTTTTCAAAAATTTAGCTAACCCAGGAGATAGTAATGTAATAGTTATTCAAAGAGAAGCTTGATTGTTTGAGATACTGTACATTCACATTTATTAAATGGGAGAAGATTGGCTGAGATGATTTCACAGTCTAAAATTATCTTATTATAGTAATAACATGTATATAATTTTTTTTTTTTCAGGAAAGCTTGTGGTTGTGAGGGATTTCCCTTCCAAGAGGTAATATCCGGTAATTCAACTGTACTTATTTTAGAAACTTTCTTATAAGTTTAGGTCTCAATTCGTATTTTCTTTTTTCTTGCTAGGTTATTCAAGAATTCCTTTTAAACAAGGATAAATTGGTGAAGGTTATCAGGTACCAAAGACCTGATTTGTTATTGTTTCAGGTATCTGAAAATAAATTCTTGCTTTACCATATGAAGTTATATGCTGGAAAGATAGGAACAGATGTTTACTCTGATTGGTCTGAAGGAGGTTTAAAATTAAAACAGGCAGCTCTTACATTTTTTCAGCATTTATTTCTAATCTCTGATTTCCCATAAATGGCCGTACTTTGCACACTGTAAGATGAAGTACAGTTATGCTATTGGAGGATGCCTTAGTTAGTATATATGGATATATTACATCCAGGGATATTTGTGGGGAAGAGGGTCTAATAACCAGAGAATGTCAAGATCAAGTATGTTATTCTTTTCCAAAAATTGAGATCTGAAATTAATGACCTAAATTTAAATTTGAACCATATTCCGTAACCCTATCTATGTATTATTCTCAAAATAGAAATAATATTCTTATCTCTTGAAGTCACCATGAGAATTAAATGAGATTATTTATAATAACTCCTAATATAGAGGCTAGGGACATAGGGTGACTCAATAAATTGTAACTGCTGGGTACTTAAGAAGTGTTAATAATGACAGCCACATTGATAATGGCAGCCAACAGTTATTAGACGTTTAAATTTGCTGTTTTAACACATTACATGTAATCTCAATCTTTATAATCCGTAAGCTGGATTTATAATATTTTCACATTATAGATGGTAAAACTGAGGCTAAGAAAGGTTAAGTAAGTTACCCAACATCTAAGAAATACCATCCTGGCATTCAAATCGAGAGCCCTCACTCTTAATCATTATGCAACAATGATTCTTCCTTGGGAGGCTCATTCTTTTTTCTCAGAATATTCTCATTGATGCTACTTTAATTAATGTTAATTCTAAAGGAAATTTATTAATATCACCTGGGAGTGCTATCTGTCTCCAAGAGATAACAAAATATTGTTTTATTTTTATTATGTGTACAGAGATTCACTCTTGAAAAAATGGAGTGGCCCAATCACTATGCATGTGAGAAGTTGCTGGTACTTTTGACCCGTTATGACATGACAGAAAGAAAGCTTGGTAGAAGGCACTCTAATCAACTACAGCCAATTCGGTAATGTAAAGAACTGAATGGTGAAGACTGTGTTTTCACTTGAATCTCTTATAATTAAAATATTTTTAATATCTTTAAGCTCATTTTTGTAAAGGTGGAGGAAAGGCCTCTTGGAATATTAAAAACTTACTCAGGACTTACAGTCTGGACAACATAGTAAGTCATGCTTGATCATACGTTTCTACTTCAAACACATAGTAATAATAGATTATAAAGAGAAACAAACACGAAAGGATATAGCCAGGCTTTATAAGACAGCTATTTCAATGGACCAGGAAAGGAACAAAAATGTAAAGGGAATGTGGGAACTAAAACTGGTTTGGCAGAGCCTTAAGTCTAGAAGCAGCAGTATCACCCAGGAGGTAAATCTCTACAATGTAAAAAATAAAACAGGGACCAAAAGTGCAAGGCATTGATGGAGTCAGGCTTATTTCTTGAAACCCAGTAGCTAGGGTGTAATTTCTCTGTTTCTATTAGGAGATTAGAGGGTGGGGTAGACAATAAAAAACTAACCAAATGCTGCCTGAAGGCCAGAAAGCCTACTGGAAATTACTCAAAAAAGACTAGAGAGATAAAAATGAAGACAGATAAAATGTAAAAGAACTGAAGAAGAAAACTTAACATATGAAGAAATGTAATATTTTAAAAATCAACAGTTGGATCATGAATTCACCTCAGATTAAGTTTTAAAGCAGTCTGACAACGGTTTTGTACAGGGCTTGGGGGTAGTTAGCCTTTCAGAATGCTAGAGTCCTCAGAAAGATGAAGACATATTTTTATAAGCAACAGAAGGCAAAATTATAAAAGTGGGTATAAATAGATGGATATTAAAAGTGAACGATTAGGCCGGGCGCGGTGGCTCATGCCTGTAATCCCAGCACTTTGGGAGGCCGAGGCGGGTAGATCATGAGGTCAAGAGATCGAGACCATCCTGGTCAACATGGTGAAACCCCGTCTCTACTAAAAATACAAAAAACTAGCTGGGCATGGTGGCGCGTGCCTGTAATCCCAGCTACTTAGGAGGCGGCAGGAGAATTGCCTGAACCCAGGAGGCGGAGGTTGCGGTGAGCCGAGATTGCACCATTGCACTCCAGCCTGGGTAACAAGAGCGAAACTCCATCTCAAAAAAAAAAAAAAAAAAAAGTGAACGATTAGAAAGCTTAAAAATAGTTGCTGAAATAAAAAGCAATAAAGGGGACTCTAGGCTGAACTTGGTTAAAAAGAATTAGTGATTTGGAAGAAAGCATTAATCCAGTCACACAGAAATAATCTCAAAGACTCTCATATGAAAAATGCTTAAGAGTAGTTTTGAATTAATTCCTAGAAGCTAATAAAAGAAAAGGTGGAAAAGTAATTTTTGAAGAAATCATCTCTCAGAGTTTTCCAAAATTTAAGACAGATAAAGTTATACTCCAAATTAAAGCACAATAGATAAAATACGCAAGGCATATTGCAGACATCAAGGATAAAAGGAATATCTTAAAAAGTACCAAACCAATGAGGCAGCAATAATCAATGGATGTTAAAACCATTAGATGAAAGATTGCTGGAGAGAAAGAATAGACACAATCTCAAATACCACTCAACAGATTAATTACAAAGGAAAAATGAAATCTTCATAAATGGAGAAATCCAGTGAACATCAGTTTAACCAGATGATTAATTACCAATAAAAGGACTATAGACTGATATCATGTGCTTTCTAATATGTTAAACTGAGAAAGATACCACATTATCATATAATATTTTTGCCCAAAAAGTTTGATCTAGGCAGGGCGTGATGGCTCATACCTGTAATCCCAGTACTTTGGGAGGCTGAGGCCGGTGGATTGACTAAGCTCAGGAGTTCAAGACCCATCTCTTCCAAAAATACAAAAAATTAGCCAGGCGTGGTGGAGAGCACCTGTGATCCCAGCTACTTGGAAGGCTGAGTTGGGAGGATTGCTTGAGCCGGGGAGGTGGAGTTTACAGTGAGCTGAGATTGCACCACTGCATTCCAACCTGGGTGACAGAGTGAGACCCTGTCTCCAAAAAAAAAAAAAAGTATAATCTGAATCTAATTATGAGAAAACAATCTAATGAATCCAAGTGAGGAACATCCTGTGGAGCTATTATCCTGGACTCTTCAAAACTAAAACAAAAAAATATAGAGAGTTTCTGGATTAAAATAAAGAGACAACACAATTCGAGAAAAATGTTGATCCTGATTGAATTCTGAATTGTTTTTAAGTCGTAAAGGACCTTTTTTTAGGACAATCGGGGAAATTTGAATATGGTCTGTGTATTGTATCAGTGTTAAGCTTTCAGAGTGTGATAGTTGTTTGTGGCAATGTAGGAAAATACTCTACATAGACAGGCTGTAGGGGTGATGTGCCATGAGACATGTTTGCAGCTAACTTGCAAATGAAGAAAGCAAATAAGGTAAAATGTTAACAATTGAATCTCAGTACAATTATGTGAGTATTCATTGTACTATTTTTATAACCTTTATGAAGGTTTGACATTTTTCAGAATAAAGTTTGCTGGGAATTAGCAAAGAAAAAAGATAAACCATCTGGTAGCACACATCTTTGATAACAGTAATAGATGACAGAAGATGCAGGAGTGATGTTTCAAAGTACCAAGTAAAAATAATTTACAACCTTGAAATCATTAAAACATTATTCATAGAAAAAGCATTTTTAAACATGAAGACTAAGAGAGTTTACCACTCATAAACTTTCCTTAAAAGTGCTGTTAAAGGGCTGGGATGGTGGCTCACCCCTATAATCTGATCACTTTGGGAGGCCAAGCAGGTGGATCACCTGAGACCAGGGGTTCTAGATCAGTCTGGCCAACATAGCGAAACCACCCCCCTACTGCAAATATAAAACATTAGCTGGGCATCATAATCTCATCTACCTGGGAGGCTGAGGCACGAGAATCTCTTGAACTAAAGAGGCAGAGGTTACAGTGAGCTGAGATGGCACCACTGCACTCCAGCCTGGGCAAATAGAGCAAGGCTCAAAACAAAACAAACAAAACATAATGATTGTTTTTAAGTGTTGTTAAAGGATATACTTCAGCAAGAAAAGAAAAATGAACACAAAGGGAAGATGTAAATTACAAGAAAGTGTTCAGCTCAGGAGTTGATTAAAATATATTTGGATAATTTAATAAACTGACTAGGAAAAAGTGTATGTAAATATTTGTATAATGTTTAATGATTAATACATGATGCTGATGATGATAAGCCAAAAATCCCAAAGTATGCATTCAAACACTTAGTACCTGCTAGAAATAAAATACCTTTCAAACCAGCACAATTAAAATAAGAAAGTCAAACTATCAAACCAAAAGAATACTGGAAGAAGGAAGGTAGAAGTAGCAGAGAAAAAGCTGGTGACAGGAAACACAAAATAAGATGCATGAATAAATCCAGCAGCTATCTCAGGAATCACAAATAATGTAAGCAGATTAATCTCACCTATTTAAAGACAGATTATATTGGATAAGTAAATAAAATTCAGCAATATTCAGCTTATAAGGTACATGTAGAATAATACAGAGCTTGAAAATAAAAGATTTAAGAAGGCTTAGTAGGCAAACACTGTACTTATCAAAGTAATATAACAAACTTTAAAACAAAAGTCATTATTGTGGAGATGAGTAACATTGAATAATAAGGAAAGGAACAACCTACCTAGAATATCTAACAATAATAAACTCTATGTACCTAACAATATTATCTTTTAAATAACTAGTCAAAGGAATAACTAGGCAGTAATTCCTTAAAATATTTTTACCTGGAAAAAAAAATCTACGGAAATTATTCAGGTTACAAATTGAAAATTTCCAAATAATTTATGCAATTAATGCTTCATTAAATGAATTTATTTTTCAGAATTGTTAAGACCCGAATCAGAAATGGAGTTCATTGTTTTGAAATAGAATGGGAAAAGCCTGGTATGTATTCACTTTAAGCAAAATGCTCCATTTATAACATTTGACCATTTATGTCTAGTAAATATTGTATATGTATATGTATTCAACATGTGTGTGAAAAATAAAGATGAAACCCATTACATGCACCACAGATTGATTTCAGTTTGCCTGTATTATTTTAGATAGGTTTTGACTAATAGTAAATATGATAAACTTTGATTTTATTGTAATGTCTTAATTTCACTTTTCTTTTGTAATATTAAAGGAAGTAATACTGAAATAGTTTTTATTTATATTTCTCAATTAAATGCTTTTACAAATAATATGGTCATTCAGTTTCATGTGTATTATATCTGAAAAAATTAAGATTGGTAGAATAGCCCCTGAGGTACACTTCCTTTCCTTTTATTACCCTGCTTAGTTTTCATTGGGAATTTTTCATTGTCAAATTATTCTTACTTTTGCTATAGACGGAAATACAGTGAACTCTGAATTAGCTCCCAAACTGGAGATAGTGAAACACAGATACTTTAAAATGGAAAATGACACCAAGTTGATTTCTGTTTGGCTTTGAAATTAGATTGTATGATCATATTTGAGAGAATAGATTTGTCCAGTGAAACTTTAAGCTGTAGGTAACGTTGAAGAATGATATTATAAACAATTAGATAAACCATTCCAAGCAATTCGAGGAAAATAGAATGCTGAATAATTTTCGAAAGTATTTAGGAACAGTTACACCAACTAGTATATTTTCAGGAAAGAACATGATATTAATTCAGTTTGGCAATGCATTTTTCCTGTCAAGAACTGAGGATCACAAACTCATTTTCACTGATCCTTGTGGGAGTTATTATGGGAGAAAATGTACCTCAGGCTAGTTTAAGATTACTTACTTTCTTTGTTTCTGCTTTAAACTTATCAGCATTTCTTTATAATTTGGCTTATTTTGTGGTTTTGCCCACATACAAAATAAACATAAGAATCTAGTGCACTGTTTATATATACACTGTATTGTAAATTTACATATGAACATTTTAATTTTCATTTATTAATTGCTTGTAAGTCCAGTTAGTGGGCTTGAGAGAGTGATATCCTCTGAAACCAATTGTTTGGGCTTGAGACAGTGATATCCTCTGAAACCAATCTGGAAGGTAGTAATACTTTTTTTTTTTTTTTTTGAGACAGAGTCTCACTCTGTCGCCCAGGCTGGAGAGTGCACTGGTACCATCTCGACTCACTGCCATCTTTGCCTCCTGAGTTCAAGTGATTCTTCTGCCTCAGCCTCCCAAGTAGCTGGAATTATAGGCACCTGCCACCACACCTGGCTGATTTTTGTATTTTTTGTAGAGATGGGGCTTCACCATGTTAGCCAGGCTGGTCTCGAACACCTGACCTCGGGTGTTCCACCCTCCTTGGCCTCCAAAAGTGCTGGGAGTACAGGCGTGAGCCACTGCACCCAGCCTAAAAAGTAGTAATACTTTTGATGACCCTTTCAATTGTGTTCATTTCAGAAGTCATCACTAAAGAAAGCTGATGTTGAGTTTTAGGAAATTATTTTATTCTTACCTGAAATTTTAACACTTACTTAACTGAATTAAACCAACCAACCTTTCTAAACAAAGTATTCTTTCAGCTGCTGCTACTATCTCTGAAATAAAGAGGATTTAAAATTCTAATTTAGGAAGAATCTCCTTCCAGCTCTTACCAGGCAAAACATAAATAAATACATTTTGTACTACTATCAACAGATTGTTAGAATCTAGGTGTTATAAAGCAAGATTTGCAGGGAATATTCCGTTTGTGAATAACTTATTTTACCTGGTAAACTTAATTACATGGAAATACTGAATTTTTTAAAATGTGTAATTAAGGATGCTTTGCTGTATTTTAAATATTTTAGAACATTATGCAATGGAAGATAAACAACATGGAGAATTTGCTCTACTAACAATTGAAGAAGAAGCATTGTTTGAAGCAGCCTATCCTGAGATCGTTGCTATTTACCAAAAACAAAAATTAGAAATTAAAGGGAAGAAACAAAAAAGTAAGTTTTGGGTTTGATAGCTATTTATGCCACATGCAAATGTTATAGGAGTCACCTCTTCTGTTTGAATCTATTCTGTCTAAATTATACTGAAGAATCTATAAAATCAAGAGTCAAGAACTGTATTCCTTCTTGTCTTCAGGTACTTTTCTTTTAAAGCCGAAAAGCCAGGAATAAATCATTCTGCTCTGTCTATATATATATATATATATATATATATATATTTTTTTTTTTTTTTTTTTCCAGGTATTAAGCCTAAAGAAAACAATTTGCCAGAACCAGATGATGTAATGAGCTTTCAGTCACTCATGACTTTAAAACCCACAAGTGAAATCTTTCACAAGCAGAATTCCAAGTTAAATTTGGGAATTTCACCTGAACCTACGTTACCACAGGAATCTATTTCTGCCTCATTGCACAGCTTGCTTTTACCTAAAAATGCTCCATGTTTGAATGCACAAGAACAATTCATGTCTTCTTCAAGACCTTTGGCTATACAGCAAATTAAGGCTGTCACTGAGTCTCTAATTTCAGAATCTAGTCAACCTGGGACGTCGTGTCATAATATATCCATGATTACCGATCTCCACTTGAGCACCATTGATTGGGAAGGTACTTCTTTTAGTAATTCTCCAGAGATTCAAAGGAATACCTTCTCTCAAGGTTTGAAATCAGAAGTTGAATCAGAGCTATCAGCTATCCCTGGTGGCTTTGAAAATACCCGAGAACAACTGCCATGTGAATCAGAAAGGTACACTGCAAATATAAATAAAGTATTGGATGAGGATTCTGATATAATTAGTTCTGAAGAGCATCTGCTTTCTGGCATTACTGATTTATGTCTTCAGGATTTGCCTTTAAAGGAACGAATATTTATAAAATCATTATATCCTCAGGATAATCTGCAACCAGATGTCAACCTGAAAACTTTGTCCAAACTTAGTGTGAAAGAATATTGTACTGCTAACAGTGGTTCTGATTGTGCATCACATTTTTCAAAGGATCTTCCGGGAATTCCCTTGCAGAATGAATCTGGAGACTCCAAAGTTCTAAAAGAAGATGAGCTGCTTCAAAAAAACTATAAAGTCTATACTTCTGTACCTTATTCTGTCAATAACACAACGGAAAAGACCTGCAGCGTTAGAATTAGATCACCAAATGCTGCATTAGATCATAGTAGAAAAATTGATATGCAGACCACTCAGAAAATTTTAATGAAGAAGAGTGTTTGCCTTGACAGACATTCCTCTGATGAAGAAAGTGCTCCAGTGTTTGGAAGAGCTGAGTACACAACTCAAAGAATGAAGCACAGTTCTCAAAAGCGTAATTCATCCCAGTTCAAAGAAAGTGGCCGCAACAAGTTGAGTATCCCTAAAATACACATTAAAGAAACTGAACAGTGTGTCAGAGCTTATAAAACAGCTGAGAATGAAGAAAGCTGTTTCCCAGATTCAGCAAAAAGTTCTCTGAGTTCTCTACAGTGTCATAAAGAAAACAACTCTGGTACTTGTTTGGATAGTCCTCTTCCTTTACGCCAGAGATTAAAACTAAGATTCCAAAGCACTTGAATTTAAAACACTTAAGTATAACTTACTATTTTAGTGCTATCAGCAACAGCAGAAACGGAGGTCTCTAGATACCTAGTTAATGCACGGTAAAAATTTAATGTGGTTTTCTGTATGTCATGAAACAGTTGCCATTTTAATCAAAATTGTAATTTTTAAAATGTTACCTAAAACCGGTTTTAAAAGATCCTTTGTATTGAAAACTTCAGATAATGTATATTTTTAAAACATATTTTTGTCTTCTGTCCTTGCTCTTCCTTAATTGTAGTTTTAAAATACTAGTATGGTACTTGACAGAGTAAACGCTTCATCTGTTTGCTCACTATTGCTTTTTCTTCCACAAGCCTCTAAAGTATTTATTTAAATTCCAGCTTTTTCCCAAGAGGATAATTCTTTACAATTCTCTGCATTCTTTCAAGGCCTTGCAAGGTCTTCCATAATAATTCTCTTTCCTAAGAGTTATATTCGCCCTCATTATGAAGATACCTTTAGTGTGCTTTTCCACCTTGAAGGCCTCTCACGGTTCTCTCTTTCCTAAGAGTTAGATTTTAACTCTTTCCTAAGAATTAGATTCTCCCTCATTGTGAAGATACCTTTGGTCTGCTTTTCCACTTTTGGTGTCTTAATCTCCTTTTTGAGGGACAAAAATAGAAAAGGAGGGAAGATGTCAATGTATTTAGTAAAAATCATGCTTGTAATGGCTGAATAAACTGAGCAAAGTAACTTCCTATGTATCCCCAGAAGTTCATAGGTATATAAACTGGAAAAAGATTTGGAAAATCAAATGTATAATCAAAAATATTAGAAACTTGCCCAGGATTACGTAACTAATAATCCTGTGGGAATCAGTTTTCTTGCCTGCTGTGTTTTTTTTTTTTTTTTTTTTTTTTTTTTTTTTTTGCTTTTTCCTTCTATGGCACTTTTCCCCCTTTTATTTTGAATCTATGCAGTATTGACTTTGATAGCACCAAATACTAAATCTTGCATTAATTTAGGTAGCACTGAAAAATTCTAGACAGGCATCCAGATTTAAAAGAAAAAAGGAAAATTGTCTCTGCAGATGACAAGATTGTATGTATCAAAAATCCTATGGAATCCTCTAGAAAACTGTTAAAACTGATAGTGAGTTCAGCAAGGTTGCAGAATACAAGACCAATGTGCAGTGATCCTTGGTTTGTTTGTTGTTTGTTTGTTTGTTTGTTTGTTTTGAGACAGAGTCTCGCTCTGTGGTCCAGACTGGGATGTAGTGGCCCCATCTTGGCTCGTGGGAACCTACGCCTCCCAGGTTCACATGATTCTTGTGCCTCAGCCACCTGAGTAACTGGGATTAACAGGCATGTGCCACCATGCCCAGCTAATTTTTATATTTTTAGTAGAGATGTGATTTTGCCATCATGAACTAGTCATCAGGCTAGTCATGAACTTCCGGCTTCAAGTGATCCACCCACCTCGGCCTCCCAGAGTGCTGGGATTACAAGTGTGAGCCACCATACCCGGCCTCAATTGTATTTCTGTACACCTCTAAATAAATGGAAATACATTCCATGTTCATGAATCAGAAGAAATAAGATGACAGTACTCCCCAAACTGATCTACAGGTTAAATGTAATTCCCGTTAGTTCCAGCTGCTTGCTTCTCTGATTCTAAAATTCATATGGAAATTTCAGGAACACAGACTATTAAGAAGAATCTTGAAAAATTTTGACTCTCCTGATTTTAAGTGTACAAAACGACAGTAGTGAAGAATGTGTTGTACTGGTGTAAAGGTAGATCTATAGGTCAATACAGATCAATGGCATAGAATTGAGAGTTCAGAAATAAGCCCTCACATTTATGGTCAGTTGATTTTAAACCAGAGTGCCAAGACAATTCAATAGCAAAACAAAACAGTCTGAACCAACTGTCTTTTGGATCTATTGGATTATCCACATTAAAAAAAATGACATTTGATTCCTACTTCACTTCATATTTAAAAATAAAGTGGATCGAAGACCTAAATGTAAGAGCTAAAGCTATAAAACTCTTAGAAGAAAACATAAATCTTTATAGACATAAATCTTTGTGACTTTGAATTAGGCAAGGATTTCTTAAATATACCAAAAGCATAGGCAACAAAAGAAAACACACAAACTGGACTTCATCAAAACTAAAAACTTGCTTGAAATGACAGCATCAAGAAAGTGAAAAGACAGCTTACAGAATGTGAGAAAATACTTGCCAATCATAAATGTGATAAGGGACTTGTATTTTAGAGGGACTTAAATAAAGAACTCATAACTCAATTTTGAAAAGACAACTTTAAAATGAGCAAAATGACAGGCATTTTTCCAAAGAAGAAACAATACATGGCAAATAAGCACATTTAAAAATTCTCAGTACTATTAGTCATCAGGGAAAAGCAAATCAAAACCACAAGATACCACTTCACACCCGATACAATGTCTGCAATCAAAAAGATAATAACTAGTATTGATGAGGATGTAGAGAAAATTGAAATTCTCATAACATGCTGGTAGGAATATAAAATGGGGCAGCCACTTTGGAAAAAGTATGGTGTTTCTTCACATGCATAAATGTAGAGTTACCGTATCATCCAGCAATTTCACTCCAGGGTGTATACCCAAGGGAAATGAAACCATATATCCACATAAAAACCTGCGCACACATTTCCATAGCTGCATTATTTATAATAGCCACAAAGTGGAAACAACCCCAATTCCAGAATGAGGAAGGGGAAAAACTAGTGTATATGCCATCTACTGTGTGCTAAGCATTTAACCAGGTCATTTACAAACCTTGTATCATCTCAACTCTGTAAGGAGTGTATTGCAATGTTTTGGATATTCAGAGAGAAAGCATCCTTGCTGAAACATTCTTCCAGGGTTCTGGTTATTTTGATTTGTTCAGTCGTGGCTATGATAGTTTAGACCATCTCGTCCAGGTAAATTCTTAGAATATCTAGAGGCATTCTTGAGATTGTATGAGATGAAAAATAACAAAATTAGTTGGGAGTGGCCAGTCTGGGTTCATTTTGCTGTATATCTCAGGGGTCCCTAACCTCTGGGCCATGGACAGGTACCAGTCCATGACCTGTTAGGAACCGGGCTGCATAGCAGGTGGTGAGTGGCATACAAGCAAGAATTACCACCTGAGCTCCACCTCCTGTCAGATCAGCAGTGGCATTAGATTCTCATAGGAGCATGAACCCTATTAAGAACTACACATGCAAAGATTTAGTTTGCAAGCTCCTGCTGAAAATCTAATGCCTGATGAGCTGAGGTCAAACAGTTTCATCCCACAACTATCTCCCCTGCATGGTCTGTGGAAAAATTGTCTTCCACAAAACTGGTCCTTGGTGCCAGAAAGGTTGGGGACCACCGATACAGCTAATACAGGCGTAAGTGTAAAATTATACTTTTTCCCCCTCAAGGATTTCTCTATTTTCATTGTCCAGTTTATGTCAGTTATTAAAGCATTCCATGTTTTTGTTCTTTGATTTGGTCATGTTATCACTTGTATATCAAATCTTATCATAAGTTGCTGCTTACGTATTTGCTCATCACTTCATTGTCTTGTTGAGGATGCCTAACTTCCTTTCAAATAATCTGCCAAAGATCTGCCTCCAGTTACGAGGATCCTGCAATTGGTTTCTTTCTGGTGGCTCCATACCAAAGCCCTGCTCTGGCCGAACTACTTTGGGCTTTGTGTAATCAATCTTAAGTCCTTGGTGGTTTTTCTTTTAGATTTTTTTTATATGTATATAAAATCTCCAACTGGCTGGATGCGGTGGCTCATGTCTGTAATCTTGGCACTTTGGGAGGCCACGGTGGGTGGATTGCTTGAGGCCAGGAGTTCAAGACCAGCCGGGCCAACATGGCAAAACGCTGTCTACTAAAAATATGAAAATTAGCATGGTCTGGTGGTGTGTGCTTGTAATTCCAGCTACCCAGGAGGCTGAGGCAGGAGAATCACTTGAACCTAGGAGGCGGAGGTTGCAGTAAGCTGAGATGGTGTCACTGCACTCCAGCCTAGGTGAAAGAGTGAGACTCTGTCTCAAAAAAAGATTAAAATGTAAATTAAAAAATAAAATCTCCATCTAGATTTTATAATGAGGACTCTACTTTTTCCTTTTGAGTGACATGGCTTGAGCCATCTTGTCAGGCATGGCTAGCTTCAAATTCTTTTTGTTAGGTAGAAAGAGCCCATCCCCCACATCTGGGGCCCACATCCAGCAGGCTGCCTCTGGGGCCCACATCCAGCAGGCCTCTGGAGGTTGGTCTGCCCAGCAACAGGACTAGCCAATCGCCTTCCTGCGTCAGCCCGCCAAAACCCGTACACGCCCCGGCATCAGCCCGCCAAAACCTAGCCAATCCCCTTTTGCCACAAGGCTCTTCCCTCTCCTTTGTTTAACCTCCACCAATCACTCCATGACACCTCGCCTAAACAGGCCGCCGCCCCTATAAAAACCCTCTCCGGCAGCTGCTGGGTGCAGCTCAGCTCCCCTCCCGCCTGGGTTGCCCGCAGATCCCAATAAACCTGGACTCGGCTTAACAACTCCTCGCTCTCATTTGCTTTGGGAAGGGTCTCTGCGGGTCGCACACTTTTCTGTTAACAGATTTTCTCATTGATCTTGGAGACACTTTCTGACTTTTCTGAGACTCGTTTATTCAGATGTTGATATGACAGGCGTTGTGTTAGGCCCTGGAGATACAGTGATCAGTGGTATCTTATAAGGTTGTTTTGATGTTTGTGAAGTGGCTGCCACCATTGACACGTTGTAGGGAATCGGTAATTGGTAGCTGTGTCAGTTACTATCATTTGGAAAGAGCACTGTCAGATTTTGGATTCAAAGTGAATATAGCCAAGCACTACCTTTTGGTAAAAATATGGACACAGTAACACTAGTAGGGGGCAGTGCGAGGGTGGGAGATGTGCTTCCAGAAGAAGGAAACCCTAGCGTCATCACACAAGGGATCCTAACAGATGTGGCATTTGAACTACTGGAAAAAATGTGCTTGCTTAAATATAATTTGGTGACTAATACTCAATCTAATCACCCACCATATGTGTTGAGCAGCCACTTTGAGCAAGGTTCTTAGGCCTATGTCTAACAGCCACGGGAAGCCCAGTAAGTTTAAAATTTTTCCAGGTCACCCAACTAGAAAAGGTTAAAGCTGGGACTAGAACTCACATTTCCTAATTAATGAGTGAATGCAATTCTCTATACTTATGTTTCCATACATCACTCAGTTCTTGACTCAAATATCACCTCAGAGAGTCCTAATCTTTTTATCTCCTGACATTACAAATGTTGGGTTTAGGTGTTTTTGTTTGTTTGTTTGTTTGTTTGTTTGTTTTAATTGCCTGTTTCCCAAACTAGAATGCAAACTTGATGAAGCAGGGACTAAGTCCTTTCTGTTCACAGAATTCTAGAACAGTGTTTGGCACAGTGATTACTAGGTGCATGAATGGCAATTCCCCACAACCCCCTCCCTGCCCCCCCACCACACACGCACACACACACACACACACACACACACACACACACACGGAGCCTGTACCAGCAGTGGCTGCTCTTACCTTGCAGAATCTCGTCTTAGTACTTCAGCATGGCTCACAAAGCTGAGGCAGCCTGGCCCCAGCTTGTCTCCAGCTTCACGCATTCACAGTCATGAACCTCAGCTCTAGCCACCTAAGACCAATTTGTTATTTCCTGCACAGATGTCTCTGCCTGAAATGCTTGCTTCTTCCTTATTGGCTAGATAAACCTCATCTGTCAAGGACCAGCTCACATGTCATAACTTTCTAATCCCAAGCCGAATTAATTGCTCTATATGTGTTCCCAAAGAAATTGCCCATACCTTCATGATAGTATTTATCATATTCATTTCACAAATATTAGCTGATGACTACCATGTAGGAAGCACAATATTCCTTACTTAAAAATACCTCTATCTCTCCCTCAGATAAGACTAAGATCTCTTTGAACACAAAAATAAAATCTTATTTCTGTTTACTTCCCCCAGATCCCTGCCCAGGGTTTGACTCTTCTGCCTCACCAACTGTTACTTACCTATTGAGATTCAGTATAAATATGGTTTTCTTTAAGAAAGGCTTCTGTTGCTTCTCTGGATTGCTGCTAGTCCCCATAGACTTCTAAAATATAACCTGTCTATAGTTTTGTGTTGGGTTACATTTTTTGTTTGTTTCCCACACCAGACTACGGGCATCCTCAGGGCAGAGAAACCTTATTGTGCTTCTGAATCTATAGCACCCAGCAGAGGGACTGGCACAGAAAGTGTCCAGTGAGGCTGGGCGCGGTGGCTCATGCCTATAATCCCAGTATTTTGGAAGGCAGAGATGGCAGATTGCCTGAGGTCAGGAGTTCGAGACCAGCATGGCCAACATGTTGAAACCCCATCTGTACTAAAAATACAAAAATTACACTTGTAATTTCAGTTACTTGGGAGACTGACATAGGAGAATCACTTGAACCTGGGAGGTGGACGTTGCAGTGAGCTGAAGACCGTGCCATTGCACTCCAGCCTGGGCAAGAGTGAAACTCCATTTCAATCAAAAAAAAAAAAAAAAAAAAAAAAAAAGTGTTCAGTGAATGGGTGCTGATTGATTGGTGGTGATTTCAGGGTCTTCGTTCTAAATTTCTCTGTGGAGAGAGACCAAATCCAATTGCATGAATTAGCTTGATCCCTAGTTGCCTTTAGCCACTTTAAGATGCCCTGCCAAGATGCTTTCTGAAGGTGAAGAATCTAAATCTTAAACTGCTGTTTCTGTTCTGCTGGTAGCACTTAGGGTAAAACAGCTTAAATAGTATTACTGAAGGCAGCCTCCTTTCATCTATAGATTAACGTGGCAATGTTTATCACCTTCTTAGCCAAGTAAAGCTTTTATCAGGCTCAACTAACAGCTTGCATTAGCCTCTTTCAAGAACTTGCCATATTGCCTATAAACTGACATGCTGCAGATAGTCCCAGCAATAGTCCAAAACAGTGGGACTCTTTTTGATGATTGTCAGAATGGATAGTTTAGTTAGACCCAGGCCAGATAAATTCACTAAATTGCCTGTTTGGCAGTGGAGGGGAGAGTCATCAGCAAAGTAGGCCGACCCTTCCATGGGCAGAATGAATATTTTGCTAACATTTAGAAGAATTCCTTTTGTAAGCACCAAGTACCTTTAATAAGGATTAAGTGTCTGAGCTTCCTCAGCATTATTCTGTTCCAAGACCCGAAAAGGAAAATAACCTCCCAAAATGGCAAAAACTGCTCTTATATTTAGAATTATCTGATCAAAGACCTAATGAAAAGATTCTAGAGTGTGTGTGTCATCCTAAGTTAAATCTTCATCTACCACCCAACTGATGTATACCTGCTTTTCTGTGAGTGAAGTCAGAAATGGCTGTTCATTCATAAATGCTTTCAAGCTGAAAGTGAGAAAGTGATTTATGAAACACCCAGGTGAAGGGAGACAAGTCCCCTTGCGTTTTGGTTTTCAAGCAATACTGGTTGCAGTAACTGCTCTGATGTAATTATTACTAACATGTACATTTTTATTAAACTGAAAATGCTAACTGAATGCCAGATGTCAGAAGGTTTATTTTACAGAGTTGCCCAAACAAAGACATCTCTAGGTCAGTCGCTGTGAAGGCCCCACAGCTTCCCTGCTGGGATAGTTCTATGGGAGGTGTCAAAGGACGGTACAGCCAGGTCTACATCTTGTGAAACGAACCAACGGACATTTTCTTAAACCTGAGAGTCACTGGTCTGAGGAACTGTCTTGGTTCTGATAGAGACTAGCTACACTGGGCAAACCTCCCTGGCTTCACTTCCTTCTCTCTTCACTCTCAATCACATTTGAGGGCATATATAAATGTATATGAAACTTCAGTATATAAATTTAGCATTACTGATGTCTTTAAAATGTATTCCATTATAATCTGTATAATTTTTTGTGAAGGGAATTGTCTACCTATAAAGAGAATAGAAACAGCTCACTGGGCACTAATGAATATAAGTAAGTTTATGCAGTTTCAAAAGTCTGTTATGCAAAGAGTTAGTAAATCTTGGGAAAAGACAAATGTTGTATCTTAAATGTTTATGTGCCACGCATCTCATTCTTAAAATTCCTAATCTATGCCCCACAAAAACTGAGAGGGCTGAGTACGGTGGCTCACACCTGCCTAACATGTAGTATGCATTTAATACATACTTGTTCAATCAATAAATAAAGTTAGTTTCAACCCAAATCCATCTAAAGACAAAGCCCATGCTTTGACCATGAATACGCTGCAATTTTGAATTGAATTCTTAAGATGGATTCAGTCCTGGGACAGGCATACTGCCTTCGATAGGCATCCTGGAAATCACATCTGCTGCCTCCCTTCAAGATGTTCATAACTTAGTTGTGATGCCAGACTCATTTTTTCTTGAGATAACAAACACAGTAAGTGCTGAGTGAAGGGAATTGCATCAGAGGGCACCAGAATGTAGAAGAGAGTGGTCAGTGAAGATCCAAGTGGTCCTCGTAGGGCCTCTTAGAGCTGAGAAACTTGATAGGACCCTTTTATGGTGGATGCCAGTTAGGAGAAAGGCAAGACTGTCAGGTCTTGGATGAGACTTAAGAGAATCAGTGAGTTTATCCAGGAGTCTCATTAATGACATGTGTTTTAGGGGATTCCAGAGGGGGACATTTGCTAGAATCATTTTTCTGGGGGAAAAAAAAAACAAAAAACAAAAAAATTCTTTACTTACAAGTATAGTTTCATGAGAAAACAACTCTGGCAGGAGAAGAGGAGGAAAGAGAAAGGCAGTGAGGTTTCTTCTTTCTCAGTATGGCTGTGGTTGTGGTGAGGGCATGATGGATCAAGACTGGCACAGAGTGAGTGCCAGATAATTATTGGCCCGCTTACTCTCGAAGTTCTCCTCTGTGGGATTTGCCTAGAATTCCACGCTGTCTCCAGAAATAAATCGCCAACTGTGGGACTTACAAGCAGAGGCTGCCTCTTGAGCACCAGCAGTAGGGCAAAGCTGCATAATCTGCCCAGGTGATTGGACTGCACAGACCCCTGG